CACCATTTATGTGCTGGTTTTTCCCCTCATCTTTGTGGATTTCTCTACTTTTGATCTTTAAAGCTGATGACCTTTGGATGGGGTTTTTGTGTGGTGGTCTTTTGCTGATGTTGTTGATTTCTGTTAGTTTTTCTTCTAAAAGGCCCCTCTTCTGCAAGCTGCTGCATTTTGTTTGTGGTCTACTCAAGACCCTGTACACCTGGGTAACTCCAGTGGAGGCTGCAGAACAGCACAGATCGCTGCCTGCTCCTTCCTTTGGGAGCTTCGTCCCAGAGTGGCACCAGCCTGATGCTAGCCAGAGCTCTCTTGTAGGAGGTGTCTATTGACCCCTGTTGGGAGGTCTCTCCCAGTTAGGAGGCATGGGGGTCCCTTAGCAGAGCTTGAGCACTGTGGTGGTAGGTCTGCTGGTCTCTTCAGAGCCAGCAGGCAGGAATGTTTAAGTCTGCTGAAACTGTGCCCACAGCCGCCCCTTCTCCCAGGTGCTCTTTCCCAGGGAGATAGGAATTTCATCTGTAAGCCCCACTGCCTTTCCTTCAGAGATGCCCTGCCCAGGGAGGAGGAATCTAGAGAGGCAGTCTGGCCATAGCCGCTTTGCCATGCTGTGGTGAATTCTGCCCAGTCCAGACCTCCCTGGGGGGTGGAGAGAGAGATTGCCAAAAAAAAGTTAAAGCACTGTTAGGAGAAGTCTGCCTGCTCAAGCCTCAGTAATGGTGGCTGTCCCTCCCCCACTGCAAGCTCAGTAGTCCCAGGCCAACTTTAGACTGTTGTGCTGCCATTAAGAATTTCAAGCCAGAGGTTCTTAGGTTGCTGGGCTCCATGGGAGTGGGACCTGCTGAGTGAGACCACTTGGCTCCCTGCCTTCAGCCCCCTTTCCAGGGGAGTGAATGGTTCTGTCTTGGGCTTTCAGCCGCCACTGGGGTATGAAAAAAGAACTCCTGCAGCTAGCTTCGTGTCTGCCCGAACAGCTGCCCAGTTCTGTGCTTGAAACCCAGGGCCCTGTTGGTGTAGGCAAATGAGGGAATCTCCTGATCTGCAGATTGCAAAAACTGTGGGAAAAGCATAGTATCCAGACCAGGTGGCACAGTCCCTCATGGCTTCCTTTGGCTATGGGAGGGAGGTCTCCCGGCTCCTTGCACTTCCTGGGTGAGGCAGTGCCCCACTTGGCTTCTGCCTGCTCTCCGTGGGCTGCACCCACTGCCTAACTAATCCCAGTGAGATGAACTGGGGACCTCCATTGGAAATGTGGAAATCACCTGCCTTCTGCATTGGTCTTGCCGGGAGCTGCAGACCGCAGCTCTTCCTATTCGGACATCTTGCCAGATCCCACCAAGTTTTTAAGATTCAATTTTGTTGGCAAGTCTTGAAATGTTTCTTAAACTTTGCTTTACATCACAGCTGACGAAAAATGTGAAGGAACTCTAGCTGAAGCCCATGGTTTTGCAGAAACTAGACTGTAATACTAAAATGAGGCTGTCTCAGGGATCAGTAGTTCTTTGCTGTGAAGGGCTGGATGTAAATGTTTTGTGGGCCATAATGTCTGCCACTGTGGCTTGAAAGCAGCCCTAGAAAACACTAAATGAATGGGTGTGGCTTTATTTCCAATAAAAATCATGTACTGGGTTGGATTTGGTCTTAAGGCTGTAATTTTCTGACTCCTGCTGTCATCAATGAGACATTAACCTGTTCATATATTAGGAAAGAGTATAGAAAAGTGGGGAGAGAGGAGGTGGGAGACAGGGATGGGGGGAGAGATTGCCAAAAAAAAAGTTTAAAATTAGTAGCCTGGGCAATGTAGTGAGACTCCATAGCTACAAAAAGAATTAAAAACTTAGCTGGGCATGGTGGTATGCTCCTGTAGTCCTAGCTATTCCGAAGGCTGAGGAGGGAGGTTTGCTTGAGCCCAGGAGTTCAAGGATGCAGTGAGCTCCAGCCTGGGCCACAGAGTGAATGCCCATCTAAAAAAAAAAAAAAAAAAAAAAAAAAAAAAAAAGAAAAGAAAAAGAAAGAACCCTTAGTTATCATTGGGAGGGCTACACTACCTAAGACAGTGGTTTCCAAATCTGGTCATTTGGAAGCACCCAGGAAACCTATTCATGATAGATTTTCAAGTTCCATGTCCACAGACTGCCATTCAATAGGTCTGTGAACATTTTTATATTCCCCATGAGAATCCCTGATTTAAAAAATCAAGAGAGTTAAAAACCCACAAAACTATTAGACTAAGAGAAAGAAATAGGAAAATGAGGTAATATAGATTAATTCTCATTAGGGAAATGGTGAGGTCCCAGGTCCAGAGTGCATGCATTCTATTTTTACTCTTGAGTTGGGGCAGAGAGCTGAGTTCTAATCTTGGCTTTGGCACTGACCACTGCCTGACCTTGAAGAAGTCACTTAGCTTCTCTGGGCTGAGGTTTCCTCATCTGTAACATCTTTTCCAGCATTAAGTTCTATAAAACACAGGTCTATAAAAACACAGATCTATCACAGTAGATTCTGGGAAATTCTCATCTTTTGTCCCCTCTCATGTAATTAAACCTAGTGTTTAAGAGTGATAGACAAGCACAGATTAGGGCATTTAATTGCCCTTTGGCAGAATTTTCACAGAAATGCAAAAGCAGAACTAGGACAAAATTCTGAAGGGCATGCAGTTGAGAAAAAGAGTTACTTTACTCCTCAGGATTTTTTTGATGAAATAATTTTCATTGATCCATCTAGATTAAATTAGCAATTGTAATTTTCCCAGATCACTTCGTTGGTCTTCTGGGCTCCTTTACCATGAGCACGCCTTCAATTGGCCAACTGTTTAAAAGATACCAGCTCACAATAACAAAAAGATGGAGTGAAGGCAGGCTGGCCAGAGGCTCCACGAGGTGATGCAGTTGACTCTATGGGAGAGGAATTCACTATTTAATTTTTTTTTAGAGACAAGTTTGCCCAAGCTGGAGTGCAGTGGTACGATCATAGCTCACTGCAGCCTCTAACTCCTGGGCTCAATTAGATCCTCCTGCTTCAGCCTCCTGAGTAGTTAGTAGTTGGGTCTACGGGCATGGACCACCACACTCGGCTAATTTTTAAATGTTATATTTTTAGTGACAGGGTCTCTTTAGGTTGCCCAGGCTGGTCTCAAACTCCAGGCCTCAAGTGATTCCCCTGCAGGTGTGAGCCAGTGTACCCGGCCTAGCACAGGAATTAAAAAAGCATGGCAGTTTCTGCCCTTTAGGAAGAATGACTCCTATGTTTTTAATACAGCAATCTATATTAATTTTTATTTTTATGCTTTTAATATGTCTGTATTATAGGAAGGAATGGGGCCAGTTATTTTCCAAGCTATAAGATGATTGTGTACAAAAGTCACTACAGTCACTGATTTTGTGCTATTTAAAAATTCCAAGAAAGGTTGTGTGCAGCAGCCTCATCTGTGTTCAGCCTCTCGGCCTCATTGTGTACATTTGTACATTATATACGTCACCATTTCACAACATGTAGTTTGTAATCTCTTACATTTAACTCTTAACCACTGTTTTCAAAGTGTTGTATTCAGGAGTAATGCTTGATACTAACTTTTGCCCTTCTATGAATTAGAAATAACTTCCTGGAACTACTGTGGATTCGAATCCAGGAGTTGCAATGATCAAAATGAATGTCCACATTTAAACCACCCACAAAGAACATTGAATTAAAGCTCCCAGCTGACCACTGTCAATTCTACAATAATGCAACATGTATGTTCTTAGAAATCACTGCCCTAGGCAAAGTTGCACAATGAAAGTCCCAGAGCTTCCGGGAAAAATGAGACTAGGGACACAATATCCCAAAATGTAATGAATTCCACATTGAAAAGAAAGATCCAATAAAAACAGCACAGTTACAAAAACGCTAACTGGTTGGGAAATGTATAAATACCAAAATAGGGCAGGTTACCCTGAGAAAGATCTAAGGCACGCCTGTGGTTGTGGGCATCAGGACAGCAGCGCTTGGGTTATTGTAGAGAGGAGAAAGGTGATCTGATGTTAGGTAGAAACATGTCACTTCAGATATGACTGAGTGCAACCCATCACAGGTGCAGTAAAGTGAGGTGCTGGGGATGTCTGAAGTGTGGGTGTGTTGTGTTTCCTTATGCAGCTCGGTTCAGTTGAGGGCAGTTCTCTCCATTCACCTAATGTTCCTTGCACACCAAACAGCACACAAGCAATGTGAAAAGTGCGTTATGCTCAAATTTTTCTCTAGTATGGTGGGTCCCCAATCTTTTTGGTGCCAGGGGCCGGTTTTGTGGAAGACAGTTTTTCCAGACTGGCAGGGGGCTGGGGGATGGTTTTGGAATGAAACTCTTCCACCTCAGATCATCAGACGTCAGTTAGATTGACATAAGGAGCGCTCAACCCAGATTGCACACATGTGTAGTTCACAGTAGGGTTCGCGCTCCTGTGACAATCTAATGCTGCTGCTCATCTGAAAGAGGCAGAACCCAGCTGATAATGCTGGCCAGCTGCTCACCTCCTGCTGTGCAGCTAGGTCAACAGGCCATGGACTGGTGCTGGTCCATGGCCCGGGGGTTGGGGACCCTTGCTATAGTACATCAGTTGCATTCAAAGAAATATGAGTTATCAAAGCAAGTGCTACAGACAATCGGTGGTAACCTGGGACCAAGAGGAATGCTGTAAGTCTTTATCCATCAGGGACATTCCAGTGAAGTTTCAAAAAATGCTGACACATGCAGAACTCAGGTGGCTCTAAACTAAAAACAAAGCATATGACTGTATAGGGTATTTATGGAAGAGATTATTTTCCTCTACTTGTTCATCTTTGCGGTAAAGTTGTGGAAGTTTCTGTTATCACTGATTAAATAGTTCCCAAACTGACGGCAAGGCTCCAGAAACTAAAAAGATTAAATTCCACTTTTGTTTCCTCAAGGATTGGCTAAAGACACTGTCAGGACGGAGTATTTAAAATGTGTTTGCCACAGAAACACACAATTGGGACAGAGGAACAAAGGATTCATCTTGTGAGTCATCAAAGTGCTTTATTTTGTAAAGCCCGGCTCATGACTGGAGTGTACTGTTAGCACTAGGAGATAACAGGGCAAATGTCCTCACTCTGTCCAAACAGTTTATCAACAGAAATAAACGACAGAGACTGTTATAGACAAAAATAATAGCATTTTGTAAACTTCTAAAAGCATATACAGATTGGCCACCAAGGAAATAGTCAAATACCGTATATGTACCTTCTCTTTACTTCAGGGTCTCATGGTGACAGTCTCGGGTCAAACCACAGTAGAACTTAAGGACACAAAAACTGATCTGATGCCAGAATTAGTGGTGCAGGGAAAAACCGAATCACAGCGTGAATTACTTTAAATACATAAAATACGAATTTGTACACTATGTTACAGTGGTGTTAACACTGTCTGCTGAGGATGACAAATCTATGTAAAATCAGTAGACAATATAGGGAGGGCATGACCGCTGGCTTTCAAAGACGCTGTCCACTAGATCCACATTCACTGGGCACAGCTGCCATCTGGATAGCCCTGAAGTAAAGCTCCTGGAAAAGGCAGTGCGGCAGGGAGATCTGTTGAGTTGCGATTAACAATTAAAGGGAAGATTTTTTTTTTTCATCTTTTCTGAAACTGGCCATAAAAATTGTATCATGTTTTAAACAAGGAGTTTCAAAGGCACGCCTTTAGCGCAGCGTTGTATAAGTTGATAACCTATTCTAAGCAAGACTAATATTTAAGCTCAATGCCTTTTGGAAAATGCAGGAGAGTTGGTAGATATATGATCTAGGTTGGAAATTTATAACATGATTAAAAACAATCAGCACAGTTTAGGGCAATGAACTTACATAAACCAGACTGGGGTGAACTCTCGTTCTAAAAAAATCATTAGGTTGATAAATGTACATTTGGAGTGGAAAAAAATCCTCTTCCTTTTATTGTGAAAGACTGTCTACCATGTACTTTCAATAAAACACTCACGTAAAAACATGACTGCAAGATATGTCTCAAAATGTGACAAACATTATTTCACCTACGCTGTGACTTTACATGTAAACTTAAAAAATCATATGCTATACATCAAATTTTTAGATTCAAAAGATATCCCTGTTTTCCTAATAATGTAAACAGTAAAACTGAGGGTTTCAGTTAAAGGGACAATTTTTAACAAAATCCCACTGGTCAAACATGAACATCTTATAATTCAGATCTGTATTCAGTAACAGGAGAATTGAGAGTTTTGACGCTTTGCTGGTTTTCCCACAGTGGGAGATGTAGATACCATTGCCCCAAACTATGCACTTTTTGGGTAAGCTTTACTTTTATTTTGTAGCATTAATTCCTATATTGCAACGTAAGGGTGTAACAATGAAGGCTCCAGGCAAGAAAAAAGAAGTAAGCAGTTTTCCTGGACATATTGGCTGAGGTGAAAAATGTATAGGGGATCAGTGGGGCATCAGCTGCTTGTTGGGGGAGTGGTGGGAGCTCTGGACACGGGGGGTTCCTGACAAGGCTGGGCCCAGAACCCTGAACCAGTACACATGGAGACGCCAGCATTCTTCCGTCCGGTGCTGGGGGCTCAGGTTACCAGTGTTAGGGAGTGTCTGCGTGCAGGTAGAAGTGGAACATTCACTGTAAGTTTTTTCCTTGGAATCATCATCATCATTATTATTATAATCATTATTATGAATACTGTCTCGTATCTTTCAACTCAAAAAAAAAAAAAAAAAAAACTGATCCACAGTTTGTTATGTGATGCCAACATGGGTGCCTGACATGCACGTCCTTCTCCCCTCCCCCACACGTGTGTTCATCCATTCACTCGGCCACAGCTGGAATCAAAGGGTTTTTGTTGGGACACATTCTGACCAAAGTGGATCAGTTTTCATTAATGACTTTAAAATGCACACACGCGCGCACACTCACCCCCCCCACCCCAAAACACACATACAAAGTCAGAAATAGCTAGAACGATGCTGGGAAAATCAGGTAGCTGTAAAGCGAGTAGCCCCCACATCAGTCATCTTGGCCTGAAGATGTAAACAAGGAGGTTTGCTTCCTGCAAGACGAGTACTTCACCGAGTTTGGTTTTCATTTTTCCTACGCCGAAGCCACCTCTGTCCATCCCGTGTTCACGTCCGCCTGAGGCTGCACAGGAGGTTACGTCAAGATGTGGCCAATAAAGTCCAAAAAGCGCTTTGAATACTGTTCCGGGTTCACGGTGGAGATCTCTGCACCAGCCTGGGCAGTTTTGAAGAAAGGACATGTTCATATGATGTTTTTGATTTCCCCAAATTACTACTCAGTATCTACAGCTATTTCCAACGGTAGCTGAATATACAGCAAGTAATTTTCAAATCTATGCACTCTCTGCTTTAAAAATCATCACTCAAAATACACTGGTGCTCGTGGCTGAATAATTGAGGTTCTTACAAATCTGTGTCTGCACATGAGACAAAGGGCGACAGGAACACCAGATGCTACCACGCACGTCGGGGCTGTTGCGACTCACAAAAAAACCAAACTGGCCACGTTTGGGGTGTTCCTCTCAAACAGTGGAATTGTTCAGAAGCCATGGAAACAATACTTTTATTATACTTTTCAAGAAGGCAGACTGGAGCCTGCTTGAGAATGACATCAACATTTGGCAAAAGGGAAACCTTAATGATAATGGCTTAGGACTGCGTCATTTCTTCAGGACCCCCTTAGTTTCTGACAGAGGCACCCAGCTCAGTGTTCTAGCATGAGGGGCAACAACTGCAGTCACAGGTTCTGGGACAGCTGCCCCCAGCCCATTTCCAGCACCGTACCCAGGTGAGGCCCAACACTCCTGGCTGCATCTCACCCACGGGGGAAGGAGCTGGCTTCCCTTGGCAGCAGCGCACAGGGGTGCCACTCTTCCCCTGCACAGAGTCCTTAGAGAACAAGCGAGCCTGCCCCTTCCAGAAGTTCGGTGGGGGATTTTCCATTATGAGATGCAGGGTGCAGGCCAGCACACTCAAGGGAGTCATTGGCCAGTTTCCTTAACTGCAAAGGGCAAGATCAGAGTTTTGCTAAGTGAGCAAGTGCTGCTTTTAGACACCCATGTTCATGGGGGAACTTGTAATTCCCAGGCCTGGGCTGCTGGGGTACTACACGGAGAAGCGCAGGCTCGAAGACAGAGAGTGGGCCCCAGCAGCAGCTTGACGTAGCATTCCTTTGCTACGAGTAAGGTTTTGTTCTTGCAAACTGCCTGTGAGTGTATGCCATGTGGCACATTATGGAGGCAAACGTGGAGCCACACTGGGTAGGACACACTCCAATTTCACAGGATGTGTATGTAATACAGAAACAGACATTTACAAAGCATTTGTCCAGAAAGCTCATCTATCTGTAGCAAAACCCCATCAGCAAGGCCATAGGATCTCTGGGTGAGCTGAAGGAATAGAAGCTCAAGCGGCCTCTTGAGGTCATCCAAGTGAGAAGGGTCACAGGGGGATTCATCCCAGTTCTCCTTTCTACACACCATGGTTTCCAACCAGAGGTGACCATCAGAATGACCATGGCGGCTCTTGAACTGGCCTCAGAATGAGTGAATGGGTGGTGGACCTGGTACAGACAGTGTTTAAAATTCACTCAAAAGTTTGTCAGGTGGAAGCCACCATGCACTCTAACTTACCGACGTGATGGGGACAGTGAGGTCTTGCCTGCGCACAGCAGGACCACAGCTGTGGACAGTGTGACTGAAATATTTCTTTGGCAAACAGAATATGGTGTTAGGCTGATTTCCATTTTAAAATAGGAAAAAAAGAGGTTTCAAGTGAGTTTTTGGTTCTGGTAAATCTTGGCTAGCTCTATACAGTCTGTGGGAGGCACCTCTCCTTCCAGGGCCAACAAGCCAGGGCACACAGTGGTCTGTGTGGGGTGGGTTCTACATCTGCAAAACCAAGATGGTGCCCTACAACACAAGCTTAGAACTCAGCGAGTTGGAAAGTTCAGCCAGGCAGGAAGGGTCTGCAGGTAAGGCAGGGGAGTGGGAATGAACACAGAGCAGGAGGGGTTGGGTCCTGGGGAGGAACCCCATCTCTAACACTTCCTACTAAGAGGCCCTGGCAAGTTACTCCTGAAGCTGTCTTCCTCAGTTTCTGTAACTGACAAAAGCAGGTATCCTAGTGTCTCTTTCACAGGCTTCTCATGGGGGATTCAACAGCTTAATATACAGCCAGAGCAGTGATAATTCCCATCGAGCACATTAAAGGTGAGTAATTAATATTATGCAACTTGGATTTTGCACTCAAAAGATTTGTGGAGTGGAAAAAGTAAAACTCACTGTGAGAAAAGAAATATCCTGTATATCTTGGAAGTGTCTTAAGCAGACAATCATGCACTGATTTTAACATTTCATACTAAAATACTTAACTATCTTCTTTAGCACTTTTATCTCTGGAACATTTTTCAAACAGAAAAGAATCTGTATCACATCCTAGTGACGTGCATGCCTGTTAGTGTCCCTCCGGTGTGAAAAGAGATGTTCGTGTTTAAGTGTCTCGCGGGAAGCCACAGGGAGCTGTGGCCAGAGCAGGGGTGAGCAGGAGCATTTGTGGGTTCTGCGTCTTATGCTCACAACACGACTCCCACAGGGCACAAGCATCACTAAAAGGCTTTCATGGCTCAGTAGAAAGCTGAGTGGCAGAAAGGAGTGGTCCCTGCATTACAAGCCATACGGAGGAGCCAGGAGAGAGAGAAACAGATACTCACGCCATGTTTAACAGTTTTTGCAGCATGGGCAGCTTTCTTTTTTGCATCATAATGAGTAAGGATGTCAATAATTGCCATGAAGTAGACCTCCTTCCTAGGTGAGTCTGCAGAGAGACGAGAGTAATGACTGCGGGACATGTGCCAGCATGGGCCATGTCGCTGCTGAGGGAGGGAAAGAGAAGTGGGGCTGGAGGGAGGGGATTCGGCAGCATGCAGATGGAAGGAGTCTAAAGAAACTCCATACCACTCCTGCGTTTCCCGACTAAACAGACACCTTGCCTCTCTGATCAGTCCCCCTCCAATTAAAAAGAAACAACAACAAACAGCATCATAACACCTGGGTATTTAAAAATAGTGTATTTCTTCACACCAAAAACAATTACACAATCATTAAAGAAAACGCAGATTCACAGAAGACTCAGTTCCACCCCTGGACCTCCACTGTTGATACCCTGGTGTTACGATGCTGTTTGTTGTTGCATCTTCGGAAATTGGAGGGGGACTGGGTCATAGAGCCAAGCTATCTGTGTTAGTGAGGATGCAGAGGGAGTGGTGTGGAGTTTGTCTGCTATTTAAAAAGACTCTATAAGGCTGGGTGTAGTGGCTCATGCCTGTAATCCCAGCACTTTGGGAGGCCAAGGGGGGGTGGATCACGAGGTCAGGAGATTGAGACCATCCTGGCCAACATGGTGAAACCCCATTTCTACTAAAAATAAAAAAAATAGCTGGGTGTGGTGGCGCGTGCCTGTAATCCCAGCTATGCGGGAGGCTGAGGCACAAGAATAGCTTGAACCCAGGAGGCAGGAGTTGCAGTGAGCCCAGATTGCACCACTACACTCCAGCCTGGCAACAGAGCAAGGCTCCCTCCAAATACCCTATAAAACAAGTAGAATTATGCTCATTAATCCTTTCTACCATTTGATGTGCTGTTCATAATTCTCACTGGAGACAGTATCAGAACTGGAGAACCGGATAAAGGCATGCGTCCCTCCAATGTCTATTTTCTATCCATTTCCAAAAATATGAACAGTAAGAAAAGTACATTTGACTGTATCTAATTTTCTGTGTTGAAGAAAACATTTTGGTGAGCAAAGCAGAAGAAAGCAGAGCTCAATCCCTTGGCTGATAAGCCATTTGGGATTAAAAAACAACTGATGAGCCACACTTTTTATTATTCAAAAAACAAGAGGCTGTTTTTATCCTATCACTAAAATATTTTGGTTTTGTCATGGATAAGTTGCTCAGGTAGGATATAATACTTAAATAACTTGAAGACCCAATCACCTGGATACTGTGGATGAAGGTTTATCTGACTATAGGGAAGAGGACTATGGGTGTTCCATGGGGAGGACGGCAGAGTCAGACGCAGCAGCAAATCGGATTCCCAACCCACACATGGGGCCAGCCTCATCCCTCTGAGAGGGACAGGGCTGTGGTGATGACAAGATGACAACCTAAGAGTCACAGGGGCCCGTATGTGTGCCAAGTTTAGATTCATGATGCTTTTGACTCAGATAAGAGAGAAGATAACTAGGCAAAAATGCACTAATATTTTAAAGATTTCAAACATCTGTATATGCATGTGTGTACATCTGTACATGTGTGGTGTGCATGTGCGCACACATGTATGCACATATGTGTGTTGTCTCTGCACGTGTTGTACATATGTACGTATGTTGTATGCCAGTGTGTGTACATAACTGTAAACGTGTATGTGCATATGTACATATGTGCTGTAGGTGTGTCTGTGTGTTGTAAAAAGCAGTCTGTGGTTTTGCTCTATTCCCTCAACGTCGCAGAATTCAAAGGTTCGATCTCCTTATGTTTCAGCACCAAGATCACGGTTACCTTTAACATGCTCTTGTCCCCAAATCCACTTCTTTGGAGTTTGGAGAATGAGTGCTGCCAGTCAGCACCCTTGTAACTGGGGTCACGAATACTGGTAAATAACAAGGCCAAAGTCAAACCACCTCACACGCAAATAGAGTCCACAGTAATAAAACTTACTTTCATGGCACTTAATGCCATAGACGTCGATGTTTGGATCGAACTCCCCGGGAGCCAGGGGTGGTGAGCTGTTCAGTGTATTCCCGGGGCTGTCCGGGGGGGTCCCCACCGGGTGGGTGCCATCGCTCTCACCCTCCTCCTCCCCGTCGTTCTCCTCACACTCCACCTCTTCCTGTTCGGCTCTCTCCACATCGTGAATTCCCACCAGCAGGCTGTAGTCCATGAGCTTCAGCTGGGCCAGAAACTGGGGACAGAGGTGACAGTCAGTCAGCCACACCTTAAACATAAAAGCCAACATTTAAAGGAGACAAGCTCAGGTGACACCCAGAGGGAAAGCTGCAGGGTGGGGCAGCAGAGGCGCCAGGAGCCTCCTTTATGATGCTCTTAAACTCCTGAGCTGTTTATCTGAAGTGTAGCCTCATACTTCAGGCTGGCTCAGAGCCCAGATTATTTTCCCTAGAATGCATGTGTCTATCACAGGGTGGCTGGATTTCACTAAAGAGAAGGGAGCACGACCAGCCAGAGATCCAGAAAGAGACTTGGAAGAGCAAGTTCCTCCCGGTGATTAAGACTGGTTACTGAGGAAACCTGGGCACTGCCTCAGCAGCTCCGAGCAGCGCCTCCTGACGTGGTTGGGGAAAGCACCTTGGAACTCAGCATGCTCTCTGGAGATCATTATGCCGTGGCAAGTAAGTAACAGCAAAGGCACTGTGTCCACAGCTGGTGAGTAATGCGGTCCTGTCGGGGTCAGCAAGGTGCCAGAGGGGCTTCGCTTTCCATGAGGCAGGGCACACCCAGGATTCCTGTCCTCCCCCTCCCTCCAGCCATGGCTAGAACATAATGTGGGGGCAAGACCCAGCTCTGTGTGTTTGGCTACTTTTGTCTGCCCAGTTCTTTTTTGACTTTTAAGATCATGATTCTTTTTGTTTCTCTTTTATTATTTGAGACCTTGAGCACAGTGTTCCAATGTTGCCACAAAATGTGGACAGTTGTGCTGAGCGCAAACAGTGGAGCTCATCAGCGGGCTCAGCCCACCCAGCTCCCTGACCCCCAGCTGCTGGCTCTGCACAGGGTCCTGTTCCGCTCTGACCTTGGGTTGAGGGTCCAAGAAGGTTCACAGTCCTGGCTCTGGAAGGACACAGAACCACCTTGTTAGGGAATGCACACTGGCTGAGCTGCCTCTGGGCTACGCTGATAGGATTTAAGAAGCAAATGTCCTCACGCAAAGGGCAAGCAGATGAAATTATAGGTCTTGATGTTCTGGCTAAAGATGAAATCAATTTGCTGAGCCCCGCAGAGCCATTTCGTTTGAGCCCGCTGCGAAGCAGTTCTGTCTCGAAACTGAAAGAGAAGCCCTAATTCCTTACAGATAAGGAGAGGACCCCTGGGCAAAGGTCTGCCCCACTCTCCAGCTGGTTCCACTGCCTGCAGTTCTCCAGCCGGCACCCTGCTCAGCCCAGCAAACCTGCCAGAGCTCCCACTTGGCTGCCTTCCCACCAGGAATCCCCCAGGGGCCAGCTATACATTCTCCATTTGTTTCAAGCTCAGAAAAGAAAAATCACACAAATCTTACACTCAGATATTTAAGCAAAGTAGGAAAACCTCTTTGTTTAAAAATAGACAGAGGCAAACCCCTCGTGGAAACAGCGAGGGGCTCCTGTGTTCAGCTTTCTGGACCCCAGAGAGGAGAGGAAGCCACTGCTCATTGCCCTGGCCTTTCCCCAAACTCCCCCATTACATCAAACATGAGAACTGACTTTTCACCTGCACCTCTCTTGGCCAGACTTCCTTTCCAGCAGTCAGAGACTACACATCCTCCCCTAGCATCTAGGCAGCTGCCAGGCTCCGGGGCACACCTGGCCAGGATCACCTGTCTGGAATCGTGTTTGTGGGGGTGGCTGCGGGGGAGAACTCCGTAATATGAGGCTCACTTGAGTCCTTCACCAGCATGGTGAAGCCAGCCAGGTAGCTGGGTCTTGGGCACTAGCTCTGCACACATGGGCCTGTGGATGAGGAAGAGAACTGGGCACTCCAGGGTACAGAAACAGGTGACAAGATCCAAGGCCTGTGTGAGACAGCAGCCAGGCTCAGCAGCTGGACAAGAGCCCAAGGATTCAAATCCAAGGAGGGTTTGAATCCGGGGCCTATTCTGAGCCTGCACTCCCTGCTTTGTATCAGCTACCTCTGGAGGCTGCCTTAAAGCAGGTTGCCTCCATCCTTTTCTTTGCAACCCCAGGAGGCAGGTAATGAGTTAAATAAAATCAGCGGGCATCGGAGTAGGCCTCCACCTGTGACTCAGAGCTGTGGGTCTCCAGAGGGTTGGGTGGCCAGCAGCATGCCTGGCACTGCTATGATCATAAAACCTGTTTCCCCGTCACAATGCCCTGTGGACCGGAGGTTTAGGAAGCCTGTTTGGGAAATACTGCATTAGAAGTACCCAGTCGTGCTTTCCAACCCTTGAGGGGTATGATGGGGAGGTGCTCATGGTAGCCCCACTCCTCCTGGACCTGTTGTTCCAGGGCCTTTGGGCTCCTGGAGGACGGGGCCAGGGTCTTTGTCACCTCCACTGTCCCTCCAAAGCCTAGCCTGGTGCCTGACTCTGCTCCCTGTATCTAGGGCTTCCCGCCTAACTCCTGGAAGCCTCTCTAGGGGTCAGGGGAAGGGCACTGCTGGAAGCACCAGACTCCAGATGGCAGCATCTGCTCCCAGCGTGGGTAGAGGGTGGGTAGGGACGGAGCCAGGCTTGGCCCTGCTAAGCTGGAGCGGTCATAGGGAAAGGGCCCCTTCTGCCCATCCCTGCTCCCTCTGGGTGCTTGGAAGGTCCCTGTGAAGTGGTAAAGGCTGAGTGGTGAGTCAACCTCCCATCCAGTCCTCTGCAAAGGGCAGCAGTTTTCAGAACGTGAACCTGATCAAATCCTGTCCTGCTTAAGACATTCCTGTGGTGCCACGTTTCCCACGGGGCACAAACAAAACTCTCAAGGCCCAGATAGCTACGCCCCATCCCCATCTGGAGCCCACTTGAACCCTGCTCCAGCCCCTTTCTGGACTTCTCCCCTGCCAGCAGGTACTTCCTCCTGCCTTCGGGTCTCAGCTGCAGGACACCACGCAGGGCAGCAGAGCCCCGGAGTCTGGGTACTGAGGGCACCGCATGCTCCTCCCCAGTGACACATGGCCTCGCTGCACATGCAATTTGTTGGCGTATTTGATCACCACCTCTCTTAGGCGGGGCAGCTCGACAAGAACTCTGGTTTCGGCTTCCTCTGCATTCCTGACTCCCAGCAGAAAAAGGGCTCAGGAAAGTACACGGCACTTGTTGGACAAGTGAATGGGATGCCTGCTGCTTCCCTACCCATCCCCCCAACTGGCCCTAATTCTCCCCAACCTGCTTCCACCAGGACATAAAACCAAAGCCAAACACCAAGAACAGAAGCAGCAACAGAAAACCTGTCTGAGACTGCGAGAGGCAACACCTTTGGGAAGGAAGCCCAAGGCGGCCATTTAAGACTCTTCCCTGAACAGCGAAGGGAGGTCTACTGGTCGACCTTCAAATGCACTTTCAAGTGTGCTTTATTTACAGAAGTCAGGGCTGTCTGTGGTTAATTTGCCAAAGGGCAGAGGCAACGGGACAACTGGGACTGGCGAGCTGCACTCACCAGGGTGAGCCTCAGTTTCCCCTGGCACCCCCCACCAGGCTGGGCAGCCCAGAGAAATGTTCCTGGGCCTCAGGCCTGTTGTCAGACTGCTTATTCTTATCTTGCAGTGAGGAAGAAATAAAGGTGCAGTCGGCTCCTAGCACAACCCATGAAACCATCGGTGCAATGAAAAACCATCTCGAGGTAAGAAGCTGTTCTGAAGCACCCAAGAAGACTGAGGAAATTGCAGTCTCCATGGGTATTACACATTTTCGTTTTTTGAGACGGGGTCTTGCTCTGTTGCCCAGGGTGGAGCACAGTGGTATAATCACATGTCCCTGCGGCCTTGAACTCCTAGCCTCAAGTCATCCTCCTGCCTTGGCCTCCCAGAGCGCTGGGATTGTTCATGTTTTCAAATCTCTGAGACCGAGGTAGAAGTGGAAAAAGCCAAGTACAGCACAGGGGTTAAAAGGACAGGTTAGGCTGACAAGGGAGCCCCCTTCAAGAAACAGAGTATCAGTTCTGGAGATGAGCGAGGCAGTCTTGCCTCAGTCCTCCCGACTGTAAAAGGAGACAATGCCTCGCAGGGGTGTGGAAGGATTAAGACAATGAGGCTGAGACCGAAACGTGGTGCCTTGCAGGAAATAATGGAAGCTGTTCTTTGTAACTGTCAGTGTTGTTTTGATTATGGCAGAGGTCTTTTTTTAATATTAAGTTTCAAATTTAAACAGGCTCCAGTTTGGGGAGCAGTGGGGAAAAGCCCGTCAATTCATGAGCTCTTATTTTCACAACCTTAATTACATTTCTTTATTTTTGAGACAGGAAGTGGCTCTGTCACCCAGGCTGGAGTGCAGTGAGTGGTATGATCCTGGCTCACCAAAGCCTCAAACGCTGGGACTTGAGGGATCCTCCTGCTTCGGCTTTCCTAGTAGCTGGGACCACAGGCAAGTACCACCGTGTCTGACTAAGTTTTAAAATTTTCTGCAGACTGGGGGGTCTCACTATATTGCTCAGGAGGGTATCAAGTGATCGCCCAGCCTCAAACTTTATTTTAAATCTGTTCTGAGGTAGAGTGAATGAAGTATGGCAATAAATCTGAGCTTTTCCTTAAGGGAAAACTCCCGTGGGCCAGACAGAAAGGGGACGTGGGCTCTGCTTCTGGCTCACTGCAGGACCACAGTATATATTCGTTCTTTAAGAACAATGTGAAGATTTTTCCTTTCCAACTTCTCAGAAATCGGATCTGCCTCTTTTCTGGCCAGAGTAGCCCGTCTCCTGTGACAAATCTTTGAGCCAGGATCTTCCCGAATCTAAGACTACCTTCACAATGCTTTCAATTGATTTTTTTACACTAACACACCGTGTCCTGCCAAATCAACATATTCTAACATACCTGTGAAGTAGAATTAAAATGCCAGTCAACTGTTTAACAGCTGTATCTTACCACTTGTTAAAAATTATAATAATCCCCCCTTGGAGCAATTATCAGATAACCTTTGTTTATGTCAGAGTAGGGAAGGATTGTGCCCTCTGAGGGCCTGATGCCCCAGTCTGAATTTAGAAGCTCTGTGCCTTCGAGCAAATTACATAGTGTCTCTGGGCTTGGCTTCCTCATTCATCAAACTAGGGTAGTGACAGGACCACTCTCAAGGGGTGGAGAATAAGTGACAATGACTGCATGGGAAGGACTTGGGGTCCACGTGCTCCGCAAATGCTGGCTGCTGCCCTTCCCTGTATTCCTACCGCCCTTTCACCCATCTCCATGGATGGGGGCTGTAAACCTCAGCCAGCTGAAATGCCCTGTGCTGGGACGCCACAGAGGGGGAACATAATTCTGCATCGTGTGAGTCGATGAGGAGAGACCAGGGTTGATTCTCCAGGGTCATGATCAGAGTGGACAACAAACAGGGCAGAAAGAAAAAGGTCTTGTCACTCCTCATCCACTAATTTGTGTGTGTGTGCAGAAAACGACTCACCTGTGTTTAGTTATGTGCAAAGCTATGGGGATGAAAGTGTCCAGCATGGCATAGGAATAGAACAGGGCTTCAATTATAGAAAATCAACTAGAATCTGGGATAAAAATTGTTTTTCTTCACAGGTAGGTTTCTTGAGCTGTAATATGCTCAGATCTCCTACTTGAGGGATTAAGGGGAAAAAAAACCAGCCACAACAACAAAAACAACTGTACTGAAACACCAATGGGTCAGTTAGCTAAATTAGAAAGCATGAAACTGATGAAAAAATAAAACTCAAGTAAATTCTAACCTCATTATCAAGATCAGATGTTAAGCTACTTCACCATAATTACCTGCTTAAAAATTTAATGATGCTTCTGTATGAATTTCAAAACCACAGACACCGTTACCAGCTATTGAGAATGTTTTATACCCTGCCTCCATTTCAACAAAACAGCTAAGTGCTTGAGCCATGTATGGGGATTAGACGTATCAAGTCCTCTAATCAATTGGTATTATTAGAGACAAAAGAGCTAAGAGGATCCTTCTGTAATTAAACTGTCAATTTGAACTGCTCTAGTTACATTATTAAAGTGATATACTGCCAACAGAAACAATTTTTTTTTCTTTCGGTAGGTCACAAATCTTACCAAAATTGCTAAAACAAACAATATTCTTTTCAGTATCGATAATTTACTGATTAAACAATAAAAATCTAAGAGTATGTTTACTGAGAGTACTTCATAATCAGATCAAATAGATCCCAAGCAAGGGGGAAATGCCTAATACATGTTATTAATAACCACTGACAACTGATGAACACTAAACATTCCTTAATGAAAGACTGGAGGAAAACGTTACATGAGAAAAGCAAACTCTTCCTTTTGTTTGAAGTAGATGCTTCTAGGCCAAGCACAGTGGCTCATGCCTTTAATCCCAGCGCTTTTGGAGGCTGAGGTAGGAGGATTGCTTGAGGCCAGGAGTTCAAGACCAGCCTGCACAACATAGCAAGACTCTGTCTCTTAAAAAAAAAAAAAATTCAAATATTAGCCAGGCACAAGACTGTAGCCCCCGCTCCTACGGAGGCTGAGGTGATAGGATTGCTTGAGCTGGGAGTTCAATGCTGCACTGAGCTATGTGGATGCCACTGCACTCAAGCCTGGCCAACAGAGCAAGACCGTGTCTCTAATATCAATAATGGCAACAAAAACATAAATGCCTCTACCCTACGCCATAACATACAGGTTCTGATCCAAGTATGTACACCATGAAGGGTAAAAAAGTAATTTATGATCTAAAAATAGGAGCTATTTATAACTTGGTCAGAGTTTCTTACAATAAAAAGCACTGTCAAGAAATTATACTGTTTTTGCCTTCATGGGAAATACAAATGTATGACATTCTTTGGCTTTAGTCATTTTCTTTTTAATGACATAAAAAAAATTCTTCACACAAACCATCTAAGTAGCAGATCCGTACTGGTGTGCCGGGAAGTGTTTCAAAGTTTCTTTAAAAAGTGTCCATGCATGAAAGTAACACCTAATTCCCACTGCACTGTCTTGTAACTCAACATTAACCTTTTTTCCTAGATTTATTTATAAAAGAGCAAATCCAGTGGAAAAGCTGCAATGCCTTTACCATAAACTAAATGACGGGAAAAGGTACACTTTCAATGTTTAGAACAGCATTTAAAAGCAAAACTCCATCATTATGGACTAAAGCCCCTTGGACGCAGTTTTATTTCTCTCCACTGTCCCCCCATGACCTAGTGTCCCCAGCTGCCCCCGTTCTAGTCCCATGATGTGTAAGGGGGCCTCATGACATGGCCTGTGATGACTTGTGGAGATAGGAAAGCATTAAGTGACCCAGCACTGACATGTGCTTTAGCGGGAAAAGTGCCATGACTCTGAACACTTGTTTTTACAATGCTCTGCTGGTGGACACAGAGTCTAGTACTCCCCTGGCCCCTCCCAAAGTGATTGATGTGGGCAGGTCGGCCTTCATGGGCCATCCCAATTCAGAACACAGAAGCCTGGGGCTGGGGATTCCCAGCACATGACAGCAGGTGCTTTCTTGTGTTTGGCACCTAAATGAGAGGAATGCTAAACTGGCATGGTCTTGCTTGACACCTTCACATCTGACTCTGATAATGTAGAGTATACTGTGTTCACCTTGGTTGCAGATTTAAATAGATGGTTTTAGAAGCTCGTAAAAACTAACAGGGCTGGCCTCTACACCGACTGTTCTCACCTCAACATCCTTTTTCAGCTTTTCCAGGAAGACTTTCTTGTTGTTGTCATCAATATAAATCTTTTGGCCCTCATTAATGAAATCGTTATCTTTCAGAGTTGGCAGTTCTTTGGCCTAAAACAAATGAGAAAAAGAATAATGAGGCTTGAATAAAATATAAAAAACCATATACAGCTTCCAACCCTGGACACTGAAGTTTGCCACCCGCCATCACCTCCACAGGGGTCTTACCCAAACAATAAAATAGAAGGCTTGAATACCACCGGGGGGCACCATTGAGCTGCAGCCTCTGGAAGCATTCCCAGTAGCAGTGAGGTGGGGGTCAGACAGACTCCACATTGTAAGGCTTTTTGTAACACATTTCATGTTTTTCAGAGGAATGAATGTGACTGCTTTCTTAGATTCCTTTTCTTACAAGAAGTCTTCTGAGTATGGAATTTGTGTTCTTGGACTATTTTCTCAGGAACCCTCAATTTTCTTACTGGTACAACCCAACTCCATCCTTCCTCCCACTTTTGGGTAGCCGTTGCTGGGCTGACATTAGAAATAACATGTTATCTTGTCTCACACATGCCCCATCCGTAATCATATCTACTTTCTGCACCAGGGAGAACATGCGGCCCGAGGTTAGCCATCTGCCCTTCCAAGCTTTCCTGTTCACCACTCAGCCAAGAAGGAACTTCTCTTCTCATTTGGACAATACCAAAGGAAAAAGGCCTGTCTTAACATAAACGTATTAAAATGAGAGGTCTACCTTTTACAACCGAAGAAGAGGGTGAGCTAACAAGTAAACCGCACTTACACCAACCAGCACAAAGCAATGGGTGACTATCAAAAAGAGGTCATGAGCAGAACACACTGCAGCTTGTACTGCAGCAAACAGCATAATATATATAGGCAATAGTTTCAAAACAGTGTAGATTAAACGTTGTGCAACCTGCATTCAGTACAAGCTCAAAATAAATCTCCCATCTCTTTCAGCTAACCATGGCTTATTTACTTCAGTGGAAAGAAATCCCATGTCGCCTACTGCCTTTCTCTGTATGCTGATGAACCTGGAATGGTCCTCTTTTCCCTAAGTGTGAACCAAATGAAAACAAAACAAGCCAAGGAAACCACATGCTGTCCTTCCTGGCTCCCATGCTGTTCATCTTCCCTCCTCACTCAGCAATACAGGAAAACTCCCTGGGTCCATCTCCTGAATCTCTCACATGCTCGAACTGCTCGCTTCCCCTCTTACCTATGAAGTATGGACATACATGTAAATATAGTCACATCTATGTACACCCACATATGTACATAAATTACGCATTTCTAAATTCGTCCCTTTGGCTACTAACTTTGAAAAAATCTAAACAGTTTTGCAACTTTAAATTGGACATAACCAATCTTTACAAGCCAAATAAAATTATTCTTAAAAAGCAGGTACAGCAAAGCTCAGAAATGTCAAGCTTCAACTCGATAGGCAGGTAGTGAGTCAAGTACAGAGATGCAAATATGAACAGGTCACGATTTCTACCGTAAAGGAGTCTGTAATCTCGCATGGGAGAAACATCTGAAAGCAAGCGGGTAGAAAATAAAGCAGGATGTATATGTAAGATGTAAAGGTAAATACTAAGGTTCCGGGGAGACTGATAAAATTTCTAACACTTTTATGCTGAGTTATTGAATCTTTAAGAAAGGAAAATGCAATGCCATTCTTCATAAAAACTGTAGGATAGGCCTGCTAGACTAACCCCCTAAACCTGTCAATAATTATTTTAAAATAGTACAATACATGCATCCCCCAACTCCCACACACCTTGAATGTGAAGACACCACGCTAATGTTAAGTGTTGGAGATCATCACACTAGATTAAAAGGTTTCTCTCCTATTAGAATGGTAAACATAATGCAATTTCACCAAGAATGAAACTCGAGGTTCTGAAGTCAACAAAACTCACTCAGAGGGCAGTGAGAAGATAAACACTGGCCAAAATAGAAAATTGGAAGCATGTTAGAAAAAAGGGTTCAAGCCAGATCTACACACAAAAACAGGAGAGACCAAGAAGGATCATAATTTTCTAGGCAGACACGTTGGGCATTTCTGTGTCATTATGTGTTGGCGATGGGAGGTGTGTGGGTGTGGGTGTTAAGGATTAAGACATCTGCTTCAATTCCACAACTCATTTTATACATGTAAGAAAAGAAGGGGAGAGGGTGTTTTTTCGGGTTTTATATAAATGTGAGAAACCTGAAGGCAGAGATGACAGATCCCAGACAAGGCCGTAAATTACACGCTGGATGTGTGTTTGTAACACAAGTCACATTAATGAAGATGAATGCCACTTCAGGTTCACCCCAGCAGAATTACCTCATGTGACAGGGAAAGTATAATCCTACCTCATAAAACTCTGGACACTCTGTACTCTATGACTAAGCTGACTTGTGAATTTCACAGGTACTAGGGACATATTTAGATTGGATCAAGTTCAGAAAAGGGCACCCTGATTGCTTAAAAGACTTAAGGGCTTATTGAAAGGATCAAGAGGCGAAGGCGGGTCCTGGCAGGGCAGCTGCAAGCACGGAATCTAACACTGGTCTATAGATACCCACCTCGCAAACGCTTACCGCAAGACAGTGTGTGCAGGGCATGAAGGTTTTGGAGTCATGAATCCTGAGGTTGCAAACCTGGTTCCACCCCTTACTTGTCAGGGACCAGGGGCCAGGTTCCTGGACATCTCCAGCCTGTATCCATAGATGCAGAAGGGGGAAAATACTGCCACTGCCACTCGCAGCAGCCTTAGATACCCTGCTCAGTGCTTTGCATGAGTCATTTCATTCGCCTCTATCATCTACCTTTAGTCTTTGCAACAACCTTAACTATCATTCTTATCCACGTTTTGCATTCAAGGAAACAGATTAAGGTCTCAAAGTTTGGTGAGTGATGAGCTGAGATGGGAACCTTAATCATTCTGCTAAGGTAGAGATGTGCTGGGAACTTAACCAGAAACCACGTGACAGATTCAAATAGTGAGTGGTGCTTGTAATCACCACCGCCATCATCGTCCTCACTGAGCATTTAATAAAGCACAGATTTAAAACGGGTATTACAGGTTGGGAGACTTTTTTTTTTAAACAAAAACTTAACTGTTCTTGTTTCTACTAAGAACAAGATAGGCTGGGCGTGGGCTTACGCCTGCAATCTCGGCACTTTGGGAGTCCAAGACAGGAGGATTACTGGAGCCCAGAAGTTTCAGACCAGTCTGGTCAACAAAGTGAGACTCCATCTCTACAAAAAAAATAATAAAACATATCACACAGGCATGCTGTATGCCTGTCATCTCAGCTACTTGGGAGGCTGAGGTAGGAGGATCACCTGAGCCTGGGAAGTCAAGGTTTCAGAGAGCCATGATTGCACTACTGCACTCCAGCCTGGGTGACACAGTAAGACCCTATCTTGGAAAAAAAAAAAAAAAAAAAGACAAAGCTTAAGTCACCTGACAACGATTCACTATCAAGAAAATCTTATTGCTTAGCTTTTAAAAATAAATTTCAATATATCTCTCTGATAATGAGCAGTGCTTATGTTAGAAACACCTTTTTTTAAATGTGGAAAACTATTATGCTATGATTTAATGAACTTAATAAACTCTTGGTGTAAAACTGCCTACCAAGATGACGTCTACAGAGCAGCAGAAAATTAACTGTGGGCAGCAACAGCTTAATGCAGCAACAGATTATACCCTTTGCTTTTAAACACGGGATTATTTGCCCTTAAAGTTTGTAGTCACTGGGTCTGGTTCTTTAACGAGTGTCTTTGATATCTTTTCTAGCTCAGTGCAGAAACAGCCAGAAGGCGGAGGAAACCCCTAGAGCTAACTAAAGGCAGCTCAGAAATGCTTCTTGGTTGTGGACTCTCCGAGGCTGGTTTCCAGCCAGCGGTCAGCAGCCTTTCTGAAGTGGTGACAGGCTGAGCCTTTATTTGCTCTGAATTCAGCTCTGGCCAGTTTTGTGGAGATCAGAGCCTCTAAGTGAGGCGGGGTGACTGCTGTATGACCCTCGTTTCTTGCTGGGTGGGGACACTGAGGAGATGACGATAAGGAAGGGAACTACTCTTCCCCACCCCGTCCTCCTCCGTGTGCCCAGCCCTGAGCTGGGACTGCTCCAAGAGCTGCTCCAAGGCCCTGGCCAGCTGCGGCACCATGAGTAAATACAGCCCAAGGCAGAGCCAGGCCAGCATAGGCAGGGCTGTTTTCTCTCCTGCATGAGGTCATCTGCTGCGGTGGGTTGGATTCCAAGTCGCATTCATCTCCACTACTGTGATGGGTAAATGCACAAACACAGCCACAGGCATCAGAAGAAGGACGCTGTGCCCCCTGCAGCCTGGCTGTCCTGCTTCCAGTTCTGATAAAATGAGCCCTTTGCTGTCCTGTGGGGTGATGCCCAACCCCAGGTAGATTCGGCATGACCCAGGTTTCCATGAAGGAGACAGATTGAGCCCATGGTTATGAGAACACATGGGATCCAGGCTGCCTGGGTTGTAGCTCCGCAACTCCAATTATTAGCTGTGTGACTCTGAGCAAGTTACCTAACCTCTCTGTGACTTGGTTTTCCATCCTCAAGGGGGATTCACAAACATAGGGTTGTGAGGACTATATGAGTTCACACATGTAAAAAGGCCTCAAACGGTGCCTGTCACAGTGTGTTACATACAAACATTGTTATTTGCTATACATGTTCTCAAGTATGGTTTATGGATCTAGAAAAAACTCATCGCTGATCAATCCAGAAGAAGATTTTTCTTTTAAAAAATGTATTGACATGTTTAACATTCTAATACTAGCTGTGATGTTGTGGGCCAGTTGCTTAATCTGCGCAAACCTCAGTTTCCTTATTTATATAATGGGAAATTAGTTAACACTGCACCTGTGTAACAGGGTTAGCATGTGAATCAAATGACACAAAGCACAGAGTGCCTGGCAATAACTGACTATATATTTGTTTCTTCTTTCCCGACTTTCTAATAAACTAGGGTCTTTAAACCTAGGATATCTTCTCGTTGATACCTGAATGATTTAAAAAACTGACAATTTAGCATGTCAGGAATCTAAACCAGGGTGTCCAATCCCATGTGGCCAATTCCAGTGCGGCGTCCCTGGGTGGCACCATAAAATCACTGACCACTAACAATAGCTGATGCGCTAAAAAAAAAAAAAGAAAAAAGAAAAATCACAAAAAAATCTCATTACATTTTAAGAAAGTTTACGGATTTGTATTGGACCACATTCAAAACCATCCTGGGGTACATGCAGTCAGTGAGCCGTGGGTTGGACAAGCTTGATCTAAATGATGTTTAAAATTTCCTTTGTTTTTAGGTTTTATCTGCTAGTCAGAAACATGTCACATGAATTCTCTACATACTGCCCTCAAATTTGGAAGACACTTTTGTTACTGCACACAAACCTACGATACATGAGCGCAGAGTGAGTATTTCATTTCACTGCACAGGACACACAGGGAACGCAGGGTACACAAGACAGGATGCGTCAAAGGTGACACGGCCCGAGGCTCTGACCTCCCTGCTTGGTGGCTCTAGTTCCTCACTCTGTTTTGCAAAGCTCCATTGTGAATTAGCCTGGCTAGAAAAACCTCTGCGATTACCAGCAAAAGCTAACCCTAACAGGAAACCTCACTGAAAAGACTTTTTTTTTAAACTGAAACATAAATGAGAGTAACATGTTCCTATCTTATAATAAAAATTGGACTAGTTAAGTTCCTGGAGTAATAAAGAATCTGAAATTTATGATATTTATTCAATGTATGGAATAAATGTAATGATTTTACGTATCTGGCCAAAGATAGAAATTTGTTGACTTTTGTCTTACCTTAATTTTCCATGGGTTAGTTCTTCTCAGTGAAGACATTATAATAGTGGGTAATTTAGTGAATGCTATTTTGCTGACCTAAAGCAAAAATCCACAAGCTGAAATCTTAGTAGCCAGAAAATATAACCAAAATACTAGGGAACAGTGAACTCTTTCCTAGGGAGCAGTGAACTCACTGGGAACATTTAACTTGCTATGAGCTGTAAAAAGAAAATTTATTATAAACATATGTATATATATAATACATTTATTACAGACATGTCTCCTTCATTTTGAAAAGTTTTTGGCTTCTTTTAAAGCACAGAATCACAGTCCTCAGCAAGTCTACTTAAGTCTACTTAAGTCAACAGCAAAAAACACACTGTGTGACAATACAGATCATGGTCAAAAATAGTTTGTGTGTCATTAAGACGCAAATGAACATGAACGTGAGAACTGAGATGCACACTCAGCTGTCAGAGCCTGAAGATAACCAACAGATGCGTAAGGCTTTTAGCATATAAAAAAGCGTCTAAACAGAATTACTTATTCCCTAGGGTTCAACAAAAGATATCAATGATCTCTAAGGACAGATTTGGCCAGTGGGTTGGAATTAAAAAAGGGAAAACCTATCAGGACAGTTACAAAGTTTAGAGCCCTCATTTTTAGAATTTCTAAGCACATGCCTCCCTTTAGCAGACTTGGGGTACAGAAATTACAAAATTCCACAAGAGCAAAGCAGACGCAGCAGTTTGCTTCCCAGAAGAACTGGTAAAAAGCAGCTAAAAAGCAACACCTAAAAACTTCCCAAGTATTTATTTAGTACTTTTATGCTTAAAACTTCCAAATGACTAAGAACTTTTGCAGAATCTCTGAAAATGAAACCAAAACCAAAACAATAAATGTGTTTACCAAAAGGAGTTAAATGTTTTGTTTCAAGTGGGAATTAACTGATTTGTATCTGTATATTGTACTTATTTCATTAGGTTCTGTGAAACGATGTATAACTGCTGTCATTCATATGGAGTTTAGCAATATTGGATATTTTAAGGTTTAGTAAAGCCAGAAGTTATATGAATATTTTAGTGAGGTTTTTTTTTTTTTTAAAATCTATCTTCTGGATGACACAAATTTTTTGTTTTTAAAATCAAAAAATTTCAAACTACAGTTTGAAAAATAACTTTAAACAGACACAATTCGAACTAAAATATCATTGGATTTTTAACGATCATTATAAACTTTACACAAAAAGCGCCAACTGTAAGGGTAAATGGCCATTAATAACTGGAAATAAAAAAATACATGCACTTAAAATGCTAAGAGCCAAATCTTTAAAATACAGAGCCAAGTTTTTATTTCATTCTGGATGGAAACCTTACTCTGGGAAGACGAAATGCACCCAGTCACACTTGAGTGTTGAATCTAAACAGGATGCTGGCACTAGATTTTAATGCAAAGGACAATACCTACCATAGGACTGTGATTAATGGACTTTATTTCGGAATGAAATGGATTTTTGCTCGATACGCTCATTTGGCAAACTATTTTTTTTAAGTCTAATTGTAAGCCTCAATGTCAAAGACTGCTGCCGAGTGTCCTTTTGATGCACTCTTACTGTGACACCCAAAGCTGAATGCTCAACATAAAAAATATGTAGCAATTGTTTTATGTTAGGAACTGCTTGTGTTCCTGATTTACTTGTTATTCCAAGCTCACCCAAATGAAAATAAACTTGCAAAATTAACATCCCTTTGGCTGTGCCTGCAAAAATCTTCATAGAAATCAGTCTATGGAGCTGAAAATATAATTCACAAGTATTTCTATAAGGGAAGGTATTTTAGGTGATCTTTACGCTGCAGCGATGATAAAAATAATTGATGGAATAACACCATATAAGCGTTATCAATTCTGGGGTAATAGGACATGCCAGGGATTTATAACGATATCAGTTCTGCTTCTCGGAACATCTAAGCCACAAATTTGATACATGAAAAGGCAAATAAGTAAATACGGCTAACATTCATACGGAAGTAGCACAGAAAAGGGGGGGTTTTGCACAAATAAAACATACGTGCACATCTGTGACCAGCATCCAGATGCGAACATTTCCTAATTTTTATTTTGAATCTATTTATGTATGAATGTGGAAAGAGAACATACCTCAGCAAACTTGTGAAACGGTGCTGTAATTAAGCAGAGCAAAACTGGAGAAGCGCTATCTTAGGACTGGTAAGACCTAGGTGTCGGCAATGTTCCCTCAAGCTAGTATGTAAAAAGTGTGATTTACTCCTTTTTTTATACTGTCATATTTTATGACCACAGCTCTGTGGTGATGTGAAAGGTGACAATTTGTTGTTCCTCCACAAACTTGGATATGACAGCTGAACTGCACACAGGGCCTACAGAATGGATTTGTTCCAGCCGGAAGAGAAGATTATGGTGTGCAGATATCTATGGCGATAATCTAAGAAATGTCAAGGGCTGAACACTCAAGGTGTTTGCTAACTCCTGTAGATTTCTGGTTTAATACTAACCTATTAAAGATCACGATTTATTTCAATGATTATACATCTGTAGCAGCTTGGCTTAAATTCAGACCACATATTAATTTTAGAAGTCTTCTCTCCACCCCAACTTTTTCTAGAACCAACTCAGAGTTGTTAGCTTAAAAACATTCCTCTACCTGACAGCACTGTTCCATGTGTGCTTGTGATACTCCGAGTTGATTTCATTACAGTGAGATAAAAATTAATCTGAGGCAACTGAGAACGAATGCAGCACCATTAAGTCACAAAGCCTTGAGGACTTGAATGCTGTCATCTGAGTGAAAATCTGGAAGGTGCTCACAAGAGTCACTGCATGTGATCTCTCTTTGTCATGTGCCATGCTGCTCAGTTAGAAAAAATTCTAAATGAAGCTTTAAAACTTAATTCCCAGAATTCCCTTCATGGTTTACATACGGGGTTCTTATCTCTATCTGCTAAAGAGAACTTTTTTTCCCCATCAATCATATCAATCACCTTAGTCTATATCTAGAACAGAGAAGATTTTAGTGATGGCCAGGGCCAGAACTTCTCCAAGGGGGGCTGACCACTGAACCACATCTCTGGAGCAAGGTCCAGGAAAGCTTCATTGGAAACAAGAGATTCTCACCAACACTAAAGCATGAGGACCAATGATGCAAGCAAATCCTTTAATTTTACAAACGGGGGCAAAGTCAAATGACCTATACTCAAACCCCATTAATGCCACCCTGTACCCCCAGGGCTGGGACTCAGATCCCCTAACCCTCTGTTGGGAGTCCTTCCCCCAAATCTCTCTTTCATAAAACATCTCTGGTCCAGAAGGTAGATGTTACTGGTTCTGCCTTTAGGGTCTGAGAAAGAAGCCCTGCTTCTGCTCTAATGGGAAACTTCCCTCTGCACTTCGGGTAGAATTGGTGTCCCTAACTAACACTGGCTGGCAATGGAGAATGATTCCATCTCAGGAGAAAAGGAATTTTACAGAAGGAGGTTAAAGCATTAGCTGAACTGAGGGCCTAAAAAGCTTGACAACCCCCTTTAACTGATGATCTGCTCACAGTGGAAAAGGAGGCACTTCTTAGCTGAGCGGCAAAGAAAGATTTCCAGAAGGACATACTGCTGTGCTTTTGTGTCATGTTTGGGGAGCCTGCCACCCTGGCCACCTCGATTCAACGGCAGCCCAGATGACCAGATAGAGGTAGTAATTAATTATAATTTGTTACAATTTAAAGACCACAAAAGAAATGCTGAAAACTGGGGTAGAAAAGCATTTTTAGATGTAAGGGTATTAATGATTAATCCTCTCGAACCCTCAGTTCGTAATAGGTAAAATGTCGGAGACGGTGACAGTCACTTAATTGCTGGTGCAATTCATAGTGCCTGAGAATCGACAAGGCGGCTTTTTGTAGCCCATTATCAAAGTGTCAACAATGATTATTGCCAATATAGTTACACAAATGCCAATTGCAGGGCAGCTGTTTTCTTTCAAATGGGTTTCAGGGAGAAGGCTGTAGGCTGAAAGGAATCTTCTTACTGTGACCCTACATCTCCATTACACATGCTTTACTATACCTAATAAAATCAGACGTGAGTTTTGAGAAGAACTGTGCAGGATGGTGAACCAAATGCATATCTGTGTAAATCCCCAGGACTCTCTCTCTCAAGAACATGGGCTTTTTAAAGAGTCAGGTCAAATCCCCCAGAAATCAAGTGAGTCCAGTTATGTTTTCTTTTACTTCCCAGGTCCCCTGCTGAGTCGCTCGCTAGCAGGCAGCATGCTAAGACTGTCATTTGTAAAAAGCAGCCCGCTCAGCTATAATTACTAATTTGATGTCACACTGGAATTGCAGCGCAGCTGTGAAAAGATCGACCACCAGGGAGGTTCGCATTTCTCTGTCTCATTTAGAGGAGGCGAAACTGCTGGAGCCATGAATGGGAGATGCCCTTCCATTAAAAAGGAAAGAATTAAAGAATAAAACAAGTCATAGCAGCTGTCAGAATTTGACAATAGTTTTTTTTTTTTAAGCACTGTTCTGCTCTTTAAAAAAAAAGAAAAAACCTCAAGACATCTGTACATGCATGTTCTGAGACTTGTTGCCATGAAAGTGATTCCATTATTGTTAGAATATAACTTATTTCCTTCATGATTATGCTAATGCAAATCACGCTAATTATGTGTCAAGCTGTAATCTAAGGGATGAAACTTGTCTGCACCTATATCGCTAAATATTTGAAATGACAGTTTCAAAACTTGTCATCAACAAGTTAGAAGCATGGGAAATTAAAACAGTTATAATAATTTATATGAAAACCTAGGAAGAATAAGAATTGAGATTACTATGTCAACAGAGATTCTCTATGAAGGTTTTTCTTTTTTCTTTTTTTTTCTTTGAGACAGGGTCTTGCTCTGTCACCCAGGCTGGAGTGCAGTGGTGTGATCATGGCTCACAGCCTCCACATCCTGAGTTCAAGCAATCCTCCCACCTCGGCATCCCAAGTAGCTGGGGCCAGAAGTGTGCACCACCAAGCCCAACTAATTTTTCTATTGTTTGTAGAAATGGGGTCTTGCTATGTTGCCCAGGGTGGTCTTGAATTCCTGAGCTCAGGCTATCCTCTCAGCCTCCCAAAGTGCTAGGATTATAGGTGTGAGCTGCCATGCTCAGCCCTCTAGAAAGACTCCATTGCACCGTAACAATCATTTGGAAAGGACTGTAGTTACACGTAATAGCCATGAAAATAATATTCTTGCGAATCATTTGATTTCATTTATAAAGACTAAAATGTAGAAAATAAGTATTTTTAGTCTTCCCCAAATATTTCAAAGCAGAGGTACCAGTAGATTGTTTTGAAAGCATTTGTTTTTTTTCTCCCAATGTCTGATCATTAAAAGTGGCATTTATGGTTTTGTGAACACAATGAATGGTATGCTTTTTGGAAGAGTCAAAAATCCTAACTGATCATGGAAAGAAAACTCTAAAGTTGGCAGAAAAGGGAAAGCAAAGACTTTTTTTGAAACTTAAAAAAAAAAAATGCTTTTAAGAGTTCAGCCCTATTAATATACTTTCTTTGATCTCTTATAGTTTAATAAATATTTCTAGATTATACAAAACGCTGCCTGATCAGAAACAGACGCATGATCTCCACTGAGCCATGTGTGATGACTTTCTGCTGGGTCTGTTCTAGATGTACTTCTCTTCTCCACATGCTCCTCCTGGGTGACCTCACCCACTTCCCTGTCTCTGCCTACCGTCCTTCCAGGGAGGATTCCCAAGCCCTTCGTTTTTAGTGGAGACCCCCTGTGCAGCTTCTCATGCCTACTGGATATCTCTGTTCTGATGCCATCCTGACATTTCAAACGCCTCCTCCCTCTCTTGTCTGGGGGATGTATTCACAGGGAAATCGCTGGGGACAAGGTCCGAGGTCCGTGAGGATGGGTGGGAGCCAAAGCCAGACCGCAGCAGGTGATGAAGTGAGGAGGAGAAAAGGAAATGGCAGAGGTTTCTTTGGCCACTTGCCCTTTTACTGTACATGAATGAAGGTACATTTTAATTTCTACCCTACTGTCAAGGCAGGCACACTCGCCAACATTTACGAATTTCTATTACTTTGACATAACATGTCTTCCAGCTATTTCCTCTCCCTCTTCCCAAGTGAGCATTTCCAACACAGAAGGGTGGGTCAGGAAGCTTTACACAGCCTCTGTCTGCTGGAAGAAGAGCTATCATAAACCTCAACTGCAAAAAGAAGGCTGGGGCACTGAATTCTTCCTCAGGGCAACAGTGCAGACAATTCTAATGTTTGCACCGCATAAAACAGTAATAAAGACTGCATTCTATGTACAAGTTACACAAATATGTGTATTTGAAAATATGAACAAAAATGTCCAAGCTCTTCAAATAGAAGAAATACAAATTGGTTGTTCTGCCAACAACGTATGAAACCAAATATCTTACTATTTTAGGAAAAAAAGTCTTGTTTTAGAATCAACTGTCTTAGCACGATATTTAACTCTGAAACAATGTTTTTTGTCAGTGTAGTAAGTTTTTCCTCATTCATTTTCACAATTAATGGGATTAATATGACTTTTTGATAATACTCCCTTCAAGGAAAGGAGAGAGATGAACTCCCAAACATTCAGTGTGGCACTGTGGTTAGAAATGTGCACTCTGGGGCTGGGGACTGCAGGTTCAAACCCTGGCGCTGTCAATTCCTGACTGTAGGACCCTGGATGAAGTTCCTAAACCTGTCAGTAAAGCAGCTTCATCCACTGGAAGTAACAACAGCACTGATCTCATCTGGTGACTCTAAGGGTTTCAGGACATAATTCATGTAAAATTTAAAACGGTCTGGCATACAGTTTGCACCCAACCAGTGCCAGTTATTCCTTTCTTAAAGCCCACCTCCTAGGGAGATGTCTTAAGGAATGATGGCTACATGTCATATTAGATTCAGGATACAACAAGCATCCTAGCAGAGTCCTAGAGAGATGAGTTCTCATTCAAACAAATTCTACATTCTCTCTTCATAAAAAGCTATACCCATAAAGGGGCTAAACATTTTTTGGTGAGGAGGGCAGTGATCTGTGGTTCATTCCATGGCTTTCTGGAAAGTATGTTAAGTCCTATAGGGGAAAGGAAGATAGGTAAATTAATGTCCTGCTTCGCAGGAACCGTTACAGCTACAGGAAGTGAAATACATGTGGCTTTCCTTTCTGTGTACCCTTGTTTTCTAATTTAGGCTTCAGCAGCAACCACACCATTAGCTGTAACCGTCCTTGTTGGCAGTGTTTACTGTCACAGCAGACCAAGCTTTTGTTGACTGCACCTGAATAAATAAAAATGAATGAAGGAAAAAACCCTGCTAGTGGCAGTCCCAAGGAACTTGCGAAGAAAGTAAAAATGGAGCCTCCAATATGGGGTGGTGATAATCATCCTGTCCACAGATCTCACTCAGGGGCTGGCCTGTTGTGTGATGCTGAAGAGTATGTGTGGCTCTGTACACACTCTGGTATTTCCTCTGAGGAGAAAATCTGAATAAAATTTAGCCTCTGAGCTTCTCATCGGCTAAAGACCTGCTGAGTCTTCAGCACCTGGAGAAACATTTACTCATGGCAGCATGGAAGTCGACAGTCACCGTTTCTGCCTCTTCTGGCCAAAGCTGGTGCCTCAGAAGGGGTTTACATGAAGGTTGAGTTCTCAGAATGTACATTCACTGATGCATAGTACAAGGGCAAATGGTCAAAGAAGCTTCCACCATTTCCTTCTCTCCTCCTCACCTGCTACAATCTGGCTCTGGCCCCCACCCACCCTCACCGACCAGACAACTCTTCGTCCTTATCCTACCTGGCCTCGCAGAAGCATCTGACGCTGGGGAGTTCATTTCCTCTGGTTCCTGGGACATTACTAGAGTGAAAGTTTCATGAGGATGGCGACTGTGTCTGCCTTGTTCCCCGAGACATTTTTTACAATACTTGGCAGACTGTGTGCGCATCAAACATGCTCAATCAATTATCTGAGCAACTGACCCAGTGGCTCCTGGCTCCTGTAAAGGGCGACATTCCACTGGGCTTGTTCTAGTCGTGTTCCTCTTATCCACACACTCCTCCTGTGTGACCTCACCCACTTCCCTGTCTCTGCCGACCATCCTTCCAGGGAGGTTTCCCATGCTGTTTTTTCAGCTGAGAGTCCCTGTGCACCTCTTGTGTTTACTGGATTTCTCTGTTCTGATGCTGCAATGACATTTCAAACTCCTCCTCCTCCTGCTCGTTTGCTATTTCAGGGAGCAGAATGAATACCTACCCAACTGCCTAAACCAGAAACTTGCTGGTCATCCTTAAACCCCCTCCCTCTATGCACACCCCCTAGCACCTCTGGCATTCAATCCCTCAGTTCAGTTCTGTACACTGGTCTTCCCAAATCTCCCTGTCATCCATCTACCTCCACCACACCCCAGCTCAGGCTAGCATCTTCTTGGGTTAATTCATCAGCCTCTCTGACAGGTCTGGCTTCCTTCCATCCATGGCCTCCTCTCTCCCTGTAGCAAATGCACCAAACGCTCCCCACCCTGACTCTCATGTCCTTGCATGTGCTGCTCTTCTTCTAACCCCTATTGATTCTTCAGGCTTCTGGACATCACCTCCTCCAGGAAGCCCTTCCCTGATCCTGCCCAGCCTCAGCAAGCTGCCCTGCTATGTGCTCTAGAGCTCCCTGAGTATTCCATCAGAGTGTTCACCCCATAACATCATTTCCTATTTGAGGTCTGCATCCTCTGCCAGAGCTGCCAGTGGGGCTCGTTATTTTAGCCCCTGAAGCTAGGATAGTAACCATGAAAATATTCACAAACACCTCTGAATGAATAAATGAAAGTACATTTGCAAATCTATAAAATTCAACTCGAAATTGCTATCACTCTAAAAGTAACAAACAACAATCTTGAGCTCTGTTTTCAAATGGAATAGTTAAGAAAAAGGTACTTCCCAAGGTGACAGGCAGGCATAACTAAGAGTACAGACGTACCCTTTACATAAGCATGTGCTGACTTGGGTTAGTTTAGGTTCACATCCAGGAAGCTACTTCCTAAACTCTGATTCAAACCAATCCTTCAAGCTGACTATGTCTATAATCTTGCATAGTAAACTAAATGTCATTCAAATACCACGTAAGATCCATTAAGACAGGAAAAGAAAAAGAGATGTGGTCTTCTTATCCTTAATTTTTTTAAGCAAAAAATATTCTAATCATGTCTTAGTAGTTGGAAAGGAGTTTAAGGCTCATCCAAGCCAACATCCTACAGGTGAGAAAGCAGACTCAGAGATGCAAAGAAATGTATTCAGGGTAACACTGTTTGGTATTGGTGAGCTGGTGTTAGGACCTGGTTCCCCGACCTGCAGGAACACATTCTCAGCTGTCACTGCCATTTTCTATTATAAGTTTACTACACAGGTGGCTGTGTTTTTCAAAAGCAAGATGCATGTAGAATGTTCCCTCCAAGCATGCTTACAACAAATAACTTTCATTTTTCAACAATTTGATAAAGAGAAATAAAGTAAAACTCTCATCGGTCAATAAAGTGTTTCTCGCTGGTGGCAGCAGATGGGGGAATGGAAGAATCGCAAGGGCAGGGGTGGCAGACTAGAAAGAAAGAATAAATGTGATTGGGACTGCGTGAGCATGCCCCCGGGGACATGGTGAGACATACAGCAAGGTACTTACCTTTTCTTTGTCACTAGCTTCTCTAGCCACTGTAGAGCCCTGAAACACAAGGAAATAATAAAAACATACATATGGGAGGCACTGGGTTTCACACATGGAAAATATGAAAATGGCTCGGGGCAGGGCAGAGAGCCAGCTCAGTACCACTCTGCCTCCCAGCCCACACAGAATGGGCTTCTCATCCCTCCTGGACCGCGGCTCGCAGCCAGGCCTGTGTCCCCTCACTGCAGGTATTCCTGGCCACTGGCCACTTCTCCAGCCCTGACTCTGTCATGCTCATCTGTGTTTCTGTGATTCTTGGCCACCTGCTGGAAGTCAGAAAACCTGACCACCACTTGAGCAACAACTTACTCAACACTGGATCAGCCCCACATTTTCCTCCTTTATCAACCGGCAGAAATAGTTGGTCTTGTTATCCTAAAGAAGAGTCCCACTAGCTGGCTCCAGTGGAAGCATGGGGGTGTTAAGAGCCTCTTTCCCCACATTACGTCTTCCAGATGTGGGCGCATCCTCGCCTGCTGTTTTTTCTGTAACACAGTTTTCTCCCATCTTAGAGTTACTGATGAATATTCTTTCCTCGCATGCTATATATCAGTCCCCCACGGCCACTCTCTGACCCCATTTACTTTGCAGAGTCCTTCAAAGACACACGGTTATTTGTACCTCTTTTGTGCCAGCCAAGCCCTATGCTGAGCGTAGAGGTACAAAGTGGAGGAAAACATGGCCCTTGATCTCAGCAGTTTTTGCTCTACTGCGGTGGGGTTCAAAACTCTGCCTCAGAGTTCTGGGTTGTCTAAGATGACCTGAGTCTACCTCGGAGGCGGATGGGAGCCTTTAGGTGTAGAATCTAAGCAGAGAAACTTCCCTTAGCTTGTGGAAGATTTTAATTCAAAAGAAAAGCTGGGAAACAAATGGTCTAGTGAATTCCTAAGAATGGATGCCAATCACAGTGTCTCATACACAGCAGATGTCCTATGTTTACTGTATAAATGGCTAGAAAAGAATTACAGAACAATTTCCTGGGTTAACATCCCATCCTGCACTGGACACCCCAACTACCGTGAGGTCAGCCACGCCACTTGCTTCTTGACCACCTAATGAATAGACATCTATTGTCCTGGATTACTTCAGTTAGCCATTCATTAAATGAATTTACAGTTGACCTGGGAAAAGCAAAAGTGGCTTTTAGATTTGGCCATCTGCAGAGAAATCAAAAATTTTGATTACTGGCTTTCATCGAGCAGCTCAGGCATTGATTAGGATGTATGCTGCCTGTAATTCAGATGTGGAAACTTGAAAGGAAGAGACTCCTCGCACTGGGGAAGGGAGCCAAGACCAGGCTGGGGGTCTCCCCAGGGCCGATCTTCCATCCCCCTGGTGCTCAGTGTTCCCAGGGCTGGAAGGTCTGAGGGACCCTGCTGCTGGCCCAGGGAAAATGTTCAGTGTCTCTTGGGGAGAGTCAGAGCAGCACAAAGCTGACCCATCAGATGGAGATGGATAACGTGAACCATTCATGAAGGCAAACCTGAGAACCCATTCTACGACCATAGCCTGCGCCCCTCAGAGCCTCGCCTGGCAGCTGTTACTTGCCAGGGTCTACTTTCCTTCCTTCAGGGATTCCTGTATATGGGCCACAAATACCTTCCTTTCTTTACACACCGAATTTTAACAAAGAATGTTCCCAAATTTTTTTAAAAATTGGGACATTTGTAATACTTGAGTACTGCTTATGCTGCTGGGCAGAGGAAGAAGCTATTCTACTTTGTATTCTTAACTGAGTTGTTGAGGGGTGGGTGGGTAGGTGTGTGTGCGTATGTGCATGTGTTTTCCCCCCTACCATATAATCCACCCTGTTTCTGATTCTCAGGGAAGCTTCATCTTTATGTAAATGCTGATCATTAGCGTGGGAACAACAAAACACAAAACTCATCCAAGTTTAAATTAATTCAGAATAAAAAGTTCTAACAAAACTAGAAAAGGAAGGCCAAGAGTTTAAGCCATGAAATGAACAGGTTCCATCACAACTGAGAGCACTGGCAAGAACAGAGTTTATGCCACAAGCCAGAAAGAGATGAAATTCTGAAATGCAAGGCAGATTAAAACTAGAATATCCAATCTCCAAGTATAATTTACTCCAAGATATGTTTACCAGATGCCTACTTGTCCGAGGCACTATCTTAGGCATTCCAGGGGGATAAAAAAAAAAAAAGTTAGAACAAAATACTTCCTCTTGAGGCACTTACACATCAGGAGAATGAATGAGGCAACCGACATTCACTGACTAACTCCCATATGCCATGCCTCATGCTGGACATGACACGTATGTATCTTATTTAATCCTCAAAACATCCCTGCAAATGTAGGTAAAATTATCCCTGTTTTAACAGATGAAGAGACAGAAGGTCATAGACGTTTAGCAACTTTTACCAGGTTAACAAGTCATAAAAGAAGAACATGCGACTTCAGAGGTCACTCTGGCTTTCTTCCCTGGGAGAGTCAGAAAGAGTCCTGTGTGCCCTGAGCAGTACCACCAAGGCTTCAAGAAAAAGCTGGTACTGGCAAGGGCCCTGGAGGGTGGCTGGGATTTCCCCAGGGGCAATTCCAGGGTCACAAAATGGGTTGATCTAAGACTTGGAGGCAGGACAGGACAAGGCTGTATTTGGGAAGTGGATCCAGTGGGTTGGGACGTCAGAGGTTAGGAGACAAGCCTAGACCATTTCCTTCACTTAGACTAGCATTTCTCAAAGTGTGGTTCGGAACCCTGGGATCCCAAGATCAAAACTATTCAAAGCCAAAATTATTTTTATAACAGTACTGAGACATTATTTGCCTTTTTGACTATCTTGATATTTGTATGAATACTGCAAAAACAATGGTGGAAAGAACTGCTAGCAGTTAAGCATAAATCAAACAGAGGCACCAATAAGTACTAGTAGTGGAAACCCAGCGTCACGCAGAGTAACCTCTGAAGCCACACATCCTTGTTTTTATGACTTCCAAACTGTGTATGACTTGCTGAACCTATGGCTAAGATGGTATCTCCTACAAATAGGCACCTAGTACACACATGAACGCATAAAATTAAATGTATCAAATCTAGACCCAGGAGGACATGTCTTTCCAATATTCTCTGCAGGAAGTATACATAAAGTACTTCTGTTTATAAAGAAGGAATGGTTTCTTAACAACTGTTTTTTGGTTTCTTAACAGCTCAGTTTGAGTTATGAGCTGAACTAGCCACCTTTTTCATGAAACAACACTTTTACTTGAAAGAATAACTGACAGTCCATGTTTATCCAGATCTGGGCATCTGACAGATGTTTGCTACGAAATGAATGAAGCTGCTAGGCTTGCCTATGTGCTGGGGTGCTCGATACATGCTGTCATTTCACAGACAACAACTGACAGGGCTTGCTGCCAGGGATAAAATTTGAGATTCCAAGTAAAAAACTGATTTTTAAAAAACTTATATCCACCACCCTGGGCTTGACAGCTTCCCCATATGCGGAAGACTTTTCTGATGACATTGGTGGCGACAGGGTTATGACTTTTTGATAGTGTATAATGAAATTCATCAATATTTGGAAGAGTCACATAACTCAGTGAACCAGTATGTTCCAAATGGCAAGTGCGTGCCTTGACAAAGTCACACGTTCAGAACAATGCATGCAAACTCATCAATGGATTTTGATGAAGAGTACAAAAATTTCACTGATGTGATTTCGGATTCCATAATGTCACACCAAGCTTTGAGAAATTACCTCTTGCCAAGCTTTGGTATAATATCAAATTAGAGTATCTATAATTATCCAAAAAAGCTGTTAAAACATGCCTGTCCCACCTTCCAGACTTCATTATTTGTGTGAGTTCGGATTTTCTTCACATCCTTTAATGGCTAACCCTGCACGGACCAACAGTCAGACATTCCAACTGACTCAGTAGGTCAGACACTATGGAGATTTGCAAAACTGAAAAACAATGCTACTTGTCTCACTTACTGGTTTTGCTTTTGGAAAATAGTTATTTTTCATAATTATGTTAACATGTAATGGGTTTTATCATTTTTAAAAATATTCTAATTATTTCTTATATTAATTTTTCATACTGTAAGTATCCACAGACACAACTCACATCTGCAAAAGCTTTTGAGGGTCCTCTTTAAGAGTGTGAAAGGGTTGGGACCGAAAACCTTGAGAGCCAAATGTCACAGACCAGAGTTTGGCACACTTCTTCTGCAAAGTGCCAGAGGGTAAATGTTTGAGGCTTTGTGGTCCCAAATTGTATCTGTGGTGACTACTCAACTCTGCCACTGAAGTGCAAAAGCAGCAACATACAATACAGAAGCAACGGGCATGGTGGTTTTCCAATAAAAATGCATTTATAAAACTGGCCCAGCCGGGCGCACTGGCACATGACTATAAACCCAGCACTTTGGAAGGCTGAGGTGGGTGGACTGCTTGAACTCAGGAGTTCAAGACCAGCCTGGGCAACATGGTGAAATCCCCTTTGTATTTTTTGCAAAAAATACAAAAATCAGCTGAGCATGGTGATGCATGCCTGTGGTCCCAGCTACTTGGGAGGCTGAGGTGGGAGGACTGCTTGAGCCAGCGGGGGTGGAGGTTGCCATGAGCCAGACTGCACTCCAGCCTGGGCAACAGCGGAAGACTCTGTCTCAAAGAAAAGGGATTTGGCATGGCCAAGTCAGAGTTTGCCAACTCCTAAGCTGGACACTCTCCCCCAAGGTGGTAATGTCAGAAGCCAGATCATGTCACTCCACTTTCAGAATTTCCAGGGGACCCCCTTTCCCTCCAGGTCTTTGAAATGGTCTCTGTACTTACTGTTCCCTCTGCCAGCAACATTCTCCCTCAGCTCATTTCCTCGTCTCCTTCAAGTCTGCTCCAATATCATCTTCCCAGGGGAAACTTCCTTGACAGTCTGCTACTTTCACTTACTGCCTGTCTTTATGCACTAGAATGTCCGCTCCCTGAGTGCAGGATTGGTTCGCTCATCCTGGTATTTCCAGCACCTCTGAGAACAGTGCCTGGAATGTAGTTGGTTGGATATTTAAGTAGATGTGATACCTCTAACACATGCAAGTTTTTTTGGTGAAGCAAGCATTGACTGCCTCATTGGAAGAGGAATACACTGCTACCTGCCTGGTAGCTTTAAGCACTGAGTGAGTCTTAAGCATTTTTTATATCAATGACAACCTTTACAATGTAGAAGAATAAGCTTGAGTTACTTTATAAAAATTAATAAAATCAATCTCACCTTTAAGTCGTATTTCCTATACACAGACAAACGGTGGCTGAACACATTTCTTGTAACAATCACATATATTTCAACTCCATCAACATTAAGCCGATACATGCCCAAGAATTGAGGAAGAAGGGTGACCCCATGACATTCCACTATGTACTGCATAGGAGAGAAAGAAAAAGGAAAACATCCAATCAAAAGATTGCTTCCTTAGATGTAAACTACATAGAACCATGGTGTTTATACAAAGTGAAAACCTCCAGCCATTAGGGTCCTAGTTACAGAAAATGGCCACATTTGTACTGCTTACCAACCACATCTGTGTTCACCATCTCTATACAGACGAGAATATTCAATTTTATCTCCAAACAGATTATTCCCCCCAACATTCCAAACGAATTTGTAAGGTCAAACCTTGGATACAGTAGTGTAAGGCAAGAGGACATGTGATTGTCTTTCTCAAATTACTTTTAAGGGATACTGCACTCCACCTAGTGACTCTGTCTATCCCCAAAGCCCTGACTACAGGGTTGTGGCAGAGCCACGTGGCCGCTAAGATCAGCTTCTCTAACAGTGTTAAAGTCGAGACTACAGAGGAAATTGTGGAGAGCCCAGTGCTAGAAGCTGGGAGGGCAGAGCTAAGCTTCCTACGAGAGCAGGGGAGAAAGGGGCAATCTCTGTGACCACAGCACCCTCGCTCCTGCTCTACTGGATGGGGCTGCCTGGTCCCTGCTGGTTTCCACTAAGTTCACTGGACAAGCACCAGGGTTGACACCATTTCCAAGGGGAGTTGCAAAAACACAACACGACCTTGGCTGTCTTTCATGACCACACTCCAGAGGGCCACAAGATGGAGCCACTTCTCCCTGAGAGCACATTTTCACAAAACAGGGGTCCCTCTGCACTTCCCAAAAAAAGCTTAGGATTTCCTTCTTTTAAAATGAGGGGGAAGGATTATTTCAAAAAGCTCTCCTATGTCCATGACACATACGTGTAATCTCTAGGATAACAAACAGAATAAATGGTGAGATTTCATTATTGTAAACACTGTACATGTTGGGCATATTCAGAGATGCAGGAAGAACGTTCACCAGATGCTGACGATGCAATTGGAGGAAATTCTGATCCTTTTTTATTTCTATACTGCTTGAATTTCTTTCTTTTTTTCCTTTTTTTTTTTTTTTACGACGAGCATATCGTAAAAAATACAAAAGTAATTAGAATGTCCTTTCAAACTTTTCATTGTAAATACTATTAATAATCAATTCTGGTGATATTTAACCACCGTAAGAAGGAAAAGGCCTTCAGTTCTGTCCATTAAAGATAAGCAGCACTGGCACCTGACTTTGATTTTTGTCATCCAGTATTTCGGCAAGTTTTAAAGATGCCTCTTCCCTTTCTTTTTTCTTGCTGACAATAACTGAGCTATGTATTTTAATCTGATGTAATTCCTGAGTAGAGTTCCACCTTGTTATTTGAAATCGGATGAGTGAAACATTTCCTATTTCTTTCCTTTCAAAATATAATAAATTGAGTTTTGCTAATGCAAAACAGGTAGTAGCCAATGGGTGAAAAGAACATTTCTCACGTCTGATCTGAAGAAATAAAGAGGGTTGTTGTTCTTGGCCTCTGTTGAAAGATGGCCAGATGAGCCTTCAAACATGGAGATTGGGGAAGTCCAGCGTGCAGTAGAGACAATGTATGTTTGCCAGCCAGAAAGGCGTGTCTATGGGTCCTGGCACCTCTGTTTACTAGCTGTGAGATCTTGGCCAGTTACCAAATCACTCCACATTTTACTTTGATTTTTCCAGAAAAAGCACGTGATTCCTACCATGAAGGTTCTTTTGAGGATTACAGATAAGAGTATGTCAAAATACTTCACACAATGCCGTGTACTATACTATACTGCAGATGATAATGATTATTTTTATTCATTCAAAACTCGGTTAAGAAATTTTAATGTTACACCTGTTTTGTGCTCCAGACTGACATACACATGTCCTGGGAGGAATCTGCTCTGAGGCAGTTATTTTTGGGGCCCACAAGACACAGTCCCTGTCCTGGGGCACACATCGGTTTTGCGTTTGCTGCTCAACCCCTCTCTGCACTGCCTCATGATAGACTGTCTTTTCAGAGTCCTGCCATGTCTCTTTGATTCAAGTTGCTGTGCAGAGCCACCGACAGCCATGTCTCTTTTCCTCACAGTGGAAAAGAACTATTATTCATGCTGACAAATATGATAAAGAGATCTTTTGAATATTATACAGGAAATCATTGACTAACTGCCCACCTCTCAGGAAAAAGCACCCATACAGATCACATTCTCTATCTCTCCTACCTTAAAGGTGAGCTAAATTAATACACTGAGAAGAGACAGATCACATCTGACTACTTTAGCAGCAAGTCTACGCGCAACTGTTCTCAAACCTGTGGTTCACATATAGGGCTCCTTGACGAATACCTAAAACTCCTGAGGATATAAACATGTACAAACCCACAAGTCAAACCAACTTGTTTGATTTTCTATTAGATTCCAGGATTGCCAAGCTGCAGGTGGTACCAAAGGTTTAGAAAGCATTAATGGGCTAAAATTTTGCAGCAGAAAAAAATTCCACCCATTGACTGAATTTCTGGAGGGGGAGCACTGGGAAAGGGCACACCGGTGCATTTCCATGGAGGAACATTTAACTGGGTCTTCAACGCCTGGACTAGGAACCTCTGTTCTCTAGCACGATGCACTGTTGTAGGTAGATGTCGACACAAAGAGGGCTGAATGAGAATCCTCGTGGATTCTCCCAGCTGACCCAGAGAATGCTGAGCACAGATCTGTAATACCAGTGGGCGTAACTCCAAGGATTCCTATACACACCAGCTTCTGGAGGTCAGCCTCGAACCAGGGAGACTGTAGATTCACAGCTGCAGCTTTAGCTGGAGTCTCCCGAGCCTTGGCCACATGACACAGCCAGGAGCCCTGTTGGTGTTCATTACCTGTGTGACCCTGGGAGAGTTATTCAACTTCCCAGTCTGCATTCGGAAAATGGGGGATAATAATATAGCACTTAACAATGATTATAACGTTTTTAGAACAGAGCCTACCACATAAAAAGTAGTGTGGAAGTGTTATGTATCTTTTGAACCTTTTCCATTTATCAAACCTCAAAACCCCTGAGAGTGATATCTCAGTATCATTCACCGAGGCAGAGTGTGGTGGCTCACGCCTGAAATCCCAGAACCTTGGCAGGCCGAGGTGGGCGGATAGGTTGAGGTCAGGAGTTTGAGACCAGCTTGGCCAATATAGCGAAACCTTGTCTCTACTAAAAATGCAAAAATTAGCCAGGTGTGGTGGTGCATGCCTGTAGTCCAAGCTACTCAGGAGGCTGAGTGAGGCATGAGAATCGTTTGAATCCAGGAGGCAGAGGCTTCAGTGAGCTGAGATTGCGCCACTGCACTCCAGCCTGTTTACCAAAAAAAAGAAAGTTCACTCAAATATTCATTAAAAAAAAATGTACTGAGCATCAATCATACGCCTGGCACCATGAGTGGTACTGACTCTGCATCAGGGAGCAGAGACGCCTGGTCTTGTCTGTGTGCAACTTATCCTACTTCAGGTGGGAAAAGGTGCTGTGGGAGGAATCGCCTTGACTTCCATCTCCCAGTGACACAGTTTGGATATTTGTCTCTTCCAAAGCTCATGTTGCAATGTGATCCCCAATGTTGGAGGCTGGGTCTGATGGGAGGGAACTGGGTCATGGGGGAGGGTCCCTGATGAATGGCGTGGTGCTATGGGGAGGACTCCTTGTGGAAAAGGGCCTTGTGCTCTCCTCTCTGCTACCCCACCTCTCGCCAGCTCCCTACTACCTTCTCACATGAATGGAAGCTTTGTGAGGGTCTTACCAGAGAGAGATGCTGACACCATGCTTCTTGTCCAGCCTGCAGAACTGCAAGCCAAATGAACCTCTTTTACAAATCACCTAGCCTCAGGTATTCCTCACAGCAACACAAACAGGCAAAGACACTCAGTGCCCACATGGTGGATCCCCTTCCAAGACCAACCTCTCCAGTCACTCTGGAACCTGATTTGTCGGGTTCTTGGGCATCCTCCTTCTCAGCCCAGGATCCTCAATCTCTCTCTCTGCACTAGCAGCTTCTCAACAGTGCTTAATTGTGCTAAAGTTTCTCAGGAAAGCAACAAAAACAAAACAACAAAACACCCCTCCTCAACTGCAGAAATGCACTGTGTGGCACTGCCTGGATCCTGGCTTGAATGTACACTTTGAGGGCAACTGGGGATACCTGATTATGCCACTCACTAGATGTTTGGTGACAGTAAGAAATTTATGGGCCATTTTCTCAGCCCGAGAAGTCCTTATGTTTCACAGAAGCATACCAAAGTTTTACAGAGGAAATGTGTCTGTGATTTACTTTTGAAAAATTTCTGCAAAAATACAATGAAGCAAACATGACAAAATGTTAGTAACTGTTAAATCTAAGTGATGGGTATACGCTACCAACTTTCTGTATGTTTGAACACTTTTATAATAAAAAGTACAAAGAAACGCAAACCCTTCTTTGATTCTGTGTCTTTCTCCATCTCCGGTCTCGCTCCTGACTGGCTTCTTGGCAGAACTGTCTGTGCTTATTTCCTGTTGCTCCGAAACCCCCATCCATTCTGTAGTTCATTCTGCTCTGGATTTTACATTCCTATCCCTGCAGAGCAACTGTTCCCCCTGAGCTCTCAATGACCCTTGAGTGGTTACACTGGACGGATGCTTCTCCGCCTTTCTCTGTCTTGAACCCCAGGAGCAGACAGCGCTCTTGTCCCAGGCTTCCTCCCTTGGCTTCTGAGATGCCGCGTTCTCCTGGCAGTCCTCCTCCTACTCCGTCCAGCTTTCCTGCCCTTTGGCCAATTCTTCCTCCTCTGCATGCCCATTGTCAGGGCTCTGACCTAGATGTCCTCTTATCTTTTCTTCTTCACGATGTACAGGTTACCTGATCTACACCTGTTGTTTTCCTTTCTGCATCTCAATAATCCCCAAGCTTATGATTCCCAGTCCACGACCTTTCTTTTCAGTTTCACATCCATATACATATAGGATTCATCTAGTTTTTAATGTGGCTTCCTGTCAAATGTACGCTCCATGAAGGTGGCAAGCACTGCT